AAAGATTGAGTAGCCATGCAACAAGTAATAAGGAACAGAACTAAATGTAACTTTAATTCAGCCTGGATTTTTTACATGCTACAGTGTAAATTTTTCTTACTTAATGCATGCAACTTTTCCAAGAAATCTCATTACGCAATCAATGAGCATTCTCTGCTTGTTGAATTTAACTCCTTTCAAAGAATATCCTAAGCATTCCTGAGCAAAGAATTTTATTGAACAGACTTTTCCCTAGTATTTCTGTTCTGTCTATGAAACGATTACTCTAAATTACTTCATTACAACAGCCTGTCCCATGAGACTCAGTTCTGTAACTGCTACTATTTTACTACTGATCATAGCCTGAATTGACACTAATATCCATATGTTTTGGGTGTTCAACTAGAAACATCCCAAAATCTGATTTCTGTGGTACTTAACATTGTATTTCACATCCCACATTCAAGCCATAACTACAGATAGTTTCAGTAAGAGCTGTTTATATTCAAGACAGCCACAGTTGCTTGTTTTGCCAGTGCCAAGGGGGGGGAGATTGTCCCCCTCTGTTCTGCCCTTGTGAGGCACACCTTCAGCATTGCAGAGGCCTGGGGTCCTGAGCACAAGCCAGTTGTGGAACTGTTGGAGCAAGTCCAGAAGAGGCCATGAAAATGATCAAAGGTCTGGAGCACACCTTTCTTAGGAAGAAAGCTTGAGAGAGATGAGCTAGTGCAGTCTGGAGAAGTCTCTGGAAAGATCTCACTGAGACCTTCCAGAAATAACAGGGAGCTTATCAACATGAGGGAGACTGACTTTACAAATAGGCAGGTCGTGACAGGACAAGTGGAACGGATTTAATCTAAAAAAGGGGAGGTTTAGATCAGATGTTAGAGGGAAATTTTTCACTCAGAGTGTGGCGAGGCACTGGCACAGGCACAGAGAAGCTGTGGATGCCCCATCTCTGGAGGTGTTCAAGGCCAGGTTGGGCAATCTGATCGAGAGCCTGATTTAATGGGTAGCAACTCTTCCCACTGCAGGGGGTTCTAACCAGATGATCTTTCAAGTCCATTCCAACTCTATGATCTTCAAAGACTGGAGTTGGAATAAAAGACCACTTTACAAGATAACATGAAATGGCCTTGTACTACGAAATTGTATTCTTCTCTTTACATCATTCTGTTTTATTCGCTAGATACTTCCTAACTTCCAAAACAACGAAATACTATGGAGAGTTCTGTACAACCTTACCACCAAGACTGCAGTTCTGTGATCAAAGGCAAAGACCAGCTTTATGAAAAATAAGTTCTGAACTGATGTAGTTACAAAAATTGCTTGAAATGTAAGAGGTTTTAATGGGATCTCAGTTAACACATTCAACCGTAAAAAAGACTAGCTTAAACAGAGTGCTCAAAAAGAGAGATTCTGAATTCCCTTCTATTGAACTTCACCATTTGAGGTCCTGGAATAACTTGTGTTCACGTAAGTCACAAAATAATGAGAAATGAAGAAAAAAAAAAAAAAAACAAATACTGCCAGTAAAATTATCAGTACTGAAAACAAAAGAAATACAACCATGTCTTCCATTTCAGATTTTAACACAACAATTATATACAACACAACAAAATTATACAAGCTATTTTTCAGTTCCAATTTATAAATTCCCTAAGCCATACACAAGCAAAGATGTACTTCTCTCAGTATCACTGTAAATGGTAATATCAGAAATTAAACGAAAAGAAATGAAAATCCTGTCTCTTATCTCTGCAGTCCATGTGCAAACAATGTATACAAGTGTATGCACCGACCTGAAACAAAAAATCAACTCCGATTTTTGTTTCATACATTGCAAGCAAATTTTCAGTACAAGCCAGTCTAGAAATACTCTTTTTTTTCCAAACTGCTTAACTGTAATTACATTGGCCTTACCAGAAAAAATATTTGACTTTTATGCTTCAAAACCTAGTGCACACAAAATGAGTATCATATCATAAGCCATGGGCCAATAGTTAAAATAACGTACATTTGATTCACCATCACTGTATATTCCTTCTTGTTATTAAGAATTGATTCCTGCTGTTGCGCCTACATACCTTTCAGGCATCTGTATGACTGCTTCAGTGTTAAAACAAATCTAGGCTGCATTATGCTTTTATATAAACATAGTCTCTGGTATGCCACAAGCTACAGCAGGGATAGTCTTGGGCAATCAGAATGAAACACATTTAGGACTTTTTTTTTTTTCCCCCACAAGGAAAGAGACATCTATGGAAAATGCCATGAAGAGACAGCTTTTTCAGTACCATATCTATTGAATCTAATTTATATGAACTTCCACTGATGAAGAAAAAATAACGTGGCAAGCTTTTTTTCTGGGGGCTGGAGGGTTTACAGGAACTGTAAACACTCAAATATGAATAAATGTCTAAGCGAACTGAACTTCCGGCTATAACTAAGTCTCTGTAAACATTTTATCCCCATCAAGCTATTGCACTACTGCTTTAGAAACAATATAATGAGGCCAGCTTTACTTAGATTAAGTTTAGTTCAATTTTAACATCAGAGGGATTTAGCTTATTCTTTGAGCTGAATGATGGCTCAGTTTGAGATGAATACTGCCTATTCTAGTATATTTACGTCATTTATTAATGCACTTCTCATAAGCAAAGGTGATGAAATCAAGAATTTATAGTAAAAGCAATTGAAACTCCTCAAGTACTAACATAATGAACTGACTGCACGCAAAATACATATACTAAACCTAGATAATTACTAGATAATTACGTTACGGAAATGTTACTATTACCAAGCTGATATTTACAAACAGCAGTTTTTTTTCTGTTTTTCCCTTCTGATGTAAATGCTCAGATCACTAGTAGGCACACCGAAGTTTGCTTCTAGCCTCCCAGATCCAGATTTGATAGTATTTCCAGGGAAAACACGAATATTCTACTTCTAGTAAAGTAATAATGTTCACTTCAGTTACCTGAAGCTAAGGAAGGTAAAATGAAGTTACCTCAGCAAAATTAATTAAACGCTGAATTTACTAAGCAGTAGGACAAATCAAAGCCTGAGTTTGGGTCCTTTTTTGTCCAGAAAGTGATCATTTCATAAAGATGAGCATTTCATGCTAGACCATAAATAAGAAGTTTATATTATAACCTTTAATACATCATCTACTTGCTGTTGCATTGGTAGGATCTACCACTGCCACTGAACCTTAGAACCATCACACCATTAAGATCTTCTTCAGATGCTGACTAACTCACTAAAGTTACTAAAGAAGGTTGACAAGACCACTTTTAGGTCCCAATTTTCCATCTGTAGTTTATCACGTTTATGCAATTACAGTGCCAAAAAATATTTCTAAAAGAGCCATTCAGTTTTCTTTCTATGGAGAGAATAAAACTAAACCTGATCTCTTTTTTCCTTTGCTTACATAGATATAACAGGACTGAAGTTTGAGGTACATCAATGTAAAATTTAAGCCAGGCTCCTGTAAATGATGGGAGAGTTAACAGCTAAGAAGATGAAACAATATTCTCTCATCACCACAATATTTTGAAATTTTACATCAGGAAACCAACTAACTTCAAATGGACAACACAAAGAAGTCTGTTTCCATAGAAACAAGTTAGATGAGAATGTATACCAACTAGTGGTCTAAGGAAACAGAATTGGATGGCAGAAATGTGCCTTTGAAATACATTTCAAAGACAAAAAGTATTTTAGAGACAGGATCTTGTTTCAAACATTTTGTTTCAAACATTAATGAATTCAGTAAAACACACTTGTAACAAGATCTTCAACCTAATGCTCAAGCACTTACTTGAAGTAGCGTGTCAGTATAAAACTTTATGGATGTTTGTAAGCAGTTAGTTCATTCTTCTCTGAAATGGGCTTAAAATAAAATATTTTTAGAATTATATCTATTTCTAAGAAATCCAACTTAAAATTAACTCAGGTAAGTTTCAAATACAGAATTGTAGATGTTGTCTCTAGCAGCTTGTGGTACTTCCATTACCATGCGAAGCCTTTTATGCTCTCTAAGCTAGTTTTTATGTAACTGACTTAATTATTTGTGTTAACTTTTCAAAACAGAAGAGTATAAAGAAAGCCTAACACCTCTGGAAAATGTAAGCCAAACATTTGGGAGACGTTCGTTTATACAGTCATCTAATCTTTCAATACAAGTGAAAGAAAATTTATAATTTAACTAATACCACAGGAATACAGTTTTGAAAAATATTGCCTTTGACATATTTTATGAATTCATACTTCTTTGGCAATCCCGTTTCATAACAGTCAGCCTACTAACCCTACATTTTTTATTACTTCTACCACAAAGTTCTATAGCCTCAGTAACATTCAACTAAAACAAAATGGAGCTCCAGTTGACAAGATTTTCTCCTTGTGAATAAAACTCTAAGATAGTAAACCAATCTACCTAATAATGATCCAATCTAGAAGCACTGTAAAGTACAGACATATTAAAATCTCTCTGAAATCTAAGCATGCCACAATATTTCTAGATGCTACAACAGTCATGAGTTCTTTTTTCCTACAAGTACTCTACACAGCCATGCATGAGTTGTTATGCACATATGCAGATGTGTAAGCTGTGAGAAAGAACTTAGTATTACACACTAACAGCACTCTACCCACTGCATGTACTACTGATAGTGAAGAGTAATAAAATACTATGTATAGAATATATGCATGGTAAAACAAATTAAGGAATAGGAAAAAAGAAAGTAGTAGATTACCTTAATTATCACGTAAAAGAATAGTCAATGAATTTTTCTGCTTTTAGGCTGCCACAATTTCTTTGTCTCCATTCTAATAAATTTTACCTAGAAGGCTGTATGTAACTTTTGATAGTATTAACTGAATACAACATTATAAATTGCATCAGCTAAAGGAAGAAACATCTAAAATGGCATTTATCTTTAATAAGCAGAATTCTATTTAGCAGTATTTAACATTAATGAGCTCCTTGTTTGAAGATGAAATAAACAAATACATACTCTGATCCAAAATCTCTTCCTCTTCTCCTTTTGACAACTGCAAAGAACTTTTATCAGTATCCTTGGTTTCTAAAAAAGGGGATTTAGAATAAGCTGTTAACTTCTGTATGTGAATGGAAATGAACATCATCTGCTAGAGAAAAAAGCCCTTCTAAGCCCTTCTAAAATCAGTATTTTTTTTTTTACCTTCTAAGAATAATACATGTACCAATCAATACAGCAGTAAAAGAAATGTAATGAAAAAGAAACATTTATTCGCATTTGTAACAGGACAGTAGGAGAGGTTTAGGCTCTCTGCATCACCTATTTACCCATCCACATAGAAATGTTCCACAGTTGCAGTAAAATCTAGGGTTTTTATATTTTGTTGTGCTTTTTTTTTTTTTTTTTTTTTTTTTTTTTTTGAAGCTGTTAGTTTAAGAACAATGTATGCAATTGCCAAGAATTTTTTCTTATGGACCTTTGTGAAATGGTAGCATAAATCTACTTGATCAAAGGTCAAAGCCTAATTTAAATGGCAGCCCCAGTGATGTCAGTGAAAAAAATACCACAGATCATTTCAGCTAGTCCTAAAGCTAATTAATAGCTGGTTTCAAATATATCCCAACTTTTATGAGTTTTTTTGTCTATATAATGCAAAAGACTGCCCAACAATGGTGCAACAAATGACTCCAATATAATCAGCTCCAGCATGAGAAACTAATCTAGTTCTATCCAGGCAGTATTTTGCCACAAATAATTATCAGTTTTCTGGTTAAACATACTGCTTTACAGTATTTGCTGCCTTGTGTAGAACTATACAATGCAGCCATATCAAGAAAATTACTTCTGAATACTGCTACTGTGGTACCACATTACACACATGTAATTAGAAACATTTGATTGTTCCAATAACAAGGCACTAGGATCTAGCAAACTTTAACTTGGCAGAAAATAGATAGAAGCTAAAGTAACTATTAAGAAAATGTTTATTTAAAGCACTGATATCCACGTACCATAGCAACAAGGTCAATTTTTTTTGTGTGTACATAGGTCACACAGCTATAAAACCATGTTGGAAATTGGAAGCGAACGTAGTAAGAAATGGACAACAGACTGTGGAAGACATTTTGATCAAAATTAAGAGCAGATGGTCATGATGCTCTCTAATTAACCACTTGTGTTTTATTCAAAATTTCATTTCCTTTCTATGACAATTTATCACATTAAAGTAAAACAAAGGCATCAGTAAACATAAAAGTCTTACACAAAATGGATTTCAAGTTTTTTTTTTTCTTACCTTCATGATGCCCATGTGCCATCTTTAGCATATCAGGCTTGACTGGAATAGGAATATTTGCTTCCTGTGGTATGTTTCTGAACATCTCAGGGTTTGCATTCTGTGTGCACGTTGTATACGAGACAGCATGCTTGGCTTCCATATAATACATAATGTAAAAATTACACATTTCATCATTGGCTGTTCCCCTACAGAACAAAGAAAGCATACAGCAGTAAGTAGAGAAAAATGAGCTGAATACAGCTGCTATCCAATCCATCTAATTTAACAGAATATTTTAAAAGGTGCAATGAAGTGCTTATATGTCCCTCACTCACTAAAACTTTTCACAGCTTCACAGCTTAAGGTTTCTTTCATTATGCATTCTCTCTTTCTATAACAGAGAATAACACCCTGCACAAGCTCCTCAGATATCTCAGGAATTTCTAAGAATAACGCTTTGATTCTACAGAAAACTGCATCAATGATTTAAACTGCTCTTTCCTCTTCTCTTTTTCTCCAGTACATTCTTCGTATTCCCCAATATATCATCAACTATGTATATGTTCTGACGAGAAGAGGCAGAACTGTACCATTAATGTTGCCATAATCCCTATAATTCTGATACCCTGGGGCAAATCTAATCTAAAATAATTGCAAATAATTTCTGTGTTTAATTTCAGCAGTTATCACTTAAGACAGTCCTTCCATGTTCAAGTACATCAATTCGTTGGCCATCCTCCACAGTGTTTCTAACAAAGCAAAACCTGATTTCATTATGTATTAAAACAGCATAAATAACTCCTAAGGTTAAGATGGCATTGCCATCTTGAGAACGACTTGATCACAAGCTTCTGTAGGAATAAAATGTGTTCAAGAGGAATGATTACACACTATGCGAAATACAGTTCTTTGTCAGGCATGTACTTGAAACAGAAGAGGCTCTTCTGTACTGCTACATAATCCTGCCATCAATAAAAGGAACAGCTGGTAAGAGAATTTTTCAGAAAAACATTACTTTATGAGGCAGACTACACAGAGGCTCTTTGCAACTGTGATCTGTTTCTGTTTATTTATTCCATATCTTTTATTTATAGCTACAATCCTGGCAATAGAATAAGCTATATCTTAAAAACAAAGGTTCACCAAATCAACAAAGGATTTTATGTTAATTTTTTTTTTAATCAGCTCTCATTTTATTCTCATAAAATTACATGGGGGTGGCCTATTAGCTATTTGTGGAAGACGTCAGTGCTGACTTTTCAAGCATTCATTTATTCACCATAGCAACAATGATGACACCAGCCGGAGGGGGGACAGGGGGAACATGGGAGAAGACTTTTTCAAAAGGGGAATTGGGATTTTTCCATGCACTGGAAATTTACAGTCCCTTGGAGACTACAAAAATCAGATTCTGACTTGGCAAGCTCTGCGTAAGCTTTTAGCAAGCATTCACTTCACTGCTGGACTTGAGTATCTGTCACCATAATTGCCTCCAGCAAAAAAAGAGGACATGGAACTCACATCAACACCAGTCACCAGATGCATTACTGTGTCTAAACACTGCCAAGTTAATTCTTTTATACTTACTGTAGTTTAAAAAAAAAGAACAGAGAAAAATACTGTTAACAACTGTTTTAGTAAACTCATGGAAAACACAGAATCCTACCATCAGATACCTGAACAACTGAGAAAGCTGTAGTTTTGTGAATGAGTTTAATGAGTAGAAATGCTGATGAATTAATCTAAATAAAAATAATCCTGTAAATCACATTTATGTCACAGCTACAAGTACCTACAAGTGTGTACAGATTGTGGTATATGATCCATACACAGTGAAGTAAAACGAAACAGAGGATGACCAGAGGGCTGGAGCACCTCCCCTATGAGGACAGGCTGAGAGAGCTGGGGCTCTTCAGCCTCGAGAAGGCTCTGAGGAGACCTCATAGTGACCTTCCAATACCTGAAGGGGCCCTAAAGGAAAGCTGAGATGGACTTCTTATAAAGACATGTAGTGATAGGAAGAGGGGAAATGGTATTAAGCTGGTTGAGGATACGTCTAGACTAGATATTAGGAAGAAATTCTTTACTGTAAAGGTAGCGAGACATTGGAACAGGTTGCCCAGTGAGGTTGTGAATGCCCCATCCCTGGAAGCATTCAAGGCCAGGCTGTATGGGGCTTTGAGCAACCTGGTCTAGAGGGAGGTGTCCTCCCTACAGCAGGGGGATGGAACTGGACGACCTTAAAGGTCCCTTCCAACCCAAACCATTCTATGATTCTACGATTTGGCATCAATCACCAAGATAATGCAGTTAAAAAATCTTTAAGACCGAATTGGAACATTTTGCAACAGAAATACGAACCTTCTCCAGAATGATACAATATTATTCTCTTTTAAAATATAAATTTCTGAGATTTATATTTTTGAAAATAAAAACGTTTATTTTGGAAAGGAGAAGATACTGGATATGCTGTTTACCATCGTCCTATGCAATACACTGTGCACTGCAATGGGATGAGCAAGCAGTCATTGCAGCCAGTGGCACCTTCCTTTACAAAGACACCATCTTTACACTGACTGGGCTCCAATCCTTCAAAGTTCCTTAGACTAGTAGCAATAATCTACTTGATACTGTATCTACAGTGTTTACTCTGAAACATCAACAACTTCTCTGTTATAAAACAGTGGTGCTTGCATGGAGTACTTAGTGGTCTTTACCCAGCCTCTTCCTCCTCCCCCTCAAAAAAAAGCAAAACACTTGATTTTTTTTTTTATTAGGTATAATTGGTAATTTCCTTGGCTGAGGGTAATTCAATCCTCTATTATGCAATAGTTTGAGCTTGAGGAAAAATCCAGCTAAAATGGTCAATTTATGAAAACTGTTGAAGGGATGACTCTTGCTTCACCTCTCTACCCCAGAGATTTTAAGCCTGTGATCTTCTAATTACCCTGAAAACATATATAGTCAACTGCATTAGCAAAATCAGGTTTCATTTCTGAACCCTTGTCCACCAAATCCTATATACAAGGGCTGCTCTAAAAGTAATGCCTCCTATTTTATTGTGTTGGCCCTTGAATTCAGAGGCACATTTTTACAGTACGAGGCTGAACCCTCCCACCAATGTTCTGTTACATTCTGATGCCATGTGATGAGGCAATACAAAGGTGATCTGACAAAATGGTGCCAGACATAGAACTGTGTATGGAGCAGAGCTGAGTCACTGAATTCCTCTATATGGCCAAAGCGACATGAAAGACAAACCACATTTTGAATGATCACGCAGATATTTACAAGCATGGTTCTTGTTCATAGCTGGTAAAAATGCATAGCTAGCTGTGGTGATTATTCAGAAAAATAGTATTTTGCAGCTTAGAATTCTATCTATCAAGTAGTACTATAGTGCTCTTTGTACCTGTTGTAATCTCCCTGGGAAAAAAATAAAAGGCAGTACTTTCAGACTGACTTAAGTATATAAAGGAATGTTTGGATGTAAAAATTTCATTTGTCCAACTAGAAACAGCAGGCTGAAAAAGATTAATATGAACTATCAAGGTCACAAAATAATAGAGCAAGATAGTGAAAATCAACTAGCGCAACTAAATGAAAACATTAATAAAAATGTACTGTGTAAAGAAACAAACAAAGATATAAGCAGTCTAAAAACAAAACAAGAACATTTACTCCATATTTAGTAACAGACTTGGTGAAAAATGACAAGTTCCATCTTACTTAAATAAAAATATAGGGAAATAAAGATAAATTAACTGAAATGAGTTCTATGTCATAAAAAAGATTATCAGTACGTTAAGTAAGAGAGTATCTGGAAGTTAGTGTAGAAAAATGGCTAAAACAGTTAACTGCTTTGCAAAATAGTTGCTTAGAAAGACAGTGAGAGAAAGTCCTACACAAAACCTATAGTGTACATAATCTTCATTGAGTAAAGCAGAGAACACTATATTGTGAAAATAACTCCATTTAGAGGTTTAGAATATATGAAAAGCAACACCTGCAGTAAATAAAAAATACCAAACAAAATAAACTGTTTAGTAACATGCAAGGGCCTTGACTGCTATCATGGAAGCTATTGTGAAATTAAGGAGTAGTGACACTGAAAACATCATGTTTTAACTACAGTCAGGAAGCCTGCATTAGGAATACTTATGCTTTAATTGATCAGCTTTGGAAAGAGGAATGGACCAAGTGAACTCAAGTTCCTCTTTACCCTAATTTCTATATATACTAAAGATGTATCACAAATGGAATTTAAGATAATTTTTCAGCTGGTTCAAGGAAAATCAAAAATACAAGCAGAAAGAGAGACTGAAAGTGAACATACAATCTGATATATATTTTGGATCTGTATGATCTTACAGCTTTCCTTTTGTTCTTGCACTTCCTGTTTTCTCAGCGTTTATATTTGGAACTGAACATTTCTTGGACGGATGAATCATTCTGAATAGGAAGTTAAGACACTTGTAATATAGGGGAAACATTATATGAAAATTGTTTAAATCTCAGAAATTTTATTTTAACTGTTTATTATCTTTTCATATGCCCAAGTATTGTGAATACATCGCTCTTCATTCATTCACATCATATGTGAATCACATTATGATAACAGTTGCTTCCCCATATTTCCTGATCATTTAAACTTCCACAATGTTTCTATTTTTGCTTAACAGTTTGAAAACTTCCTTCAAATGCTTGCATTCTTCCTCAAAACAGACAGTAGAAATTATGTAATACAAGATTTTATCACTTCTGTATTGGAAGTTGAATAGCGTATTGACAGAAAAGACATAGTTCTCTTAAAACTGTGAAGGTTACTGAATAAACAAGAACTACTTCAAGGAAAGTTACAGAAAAACAATATTTAAAATAAATGTTTTGGATATATTTTTGTTAGTACTGAAGAACCTCAAGTTGTTCTTGTTCTGTATTTTAACCATAGAACACCATGGAAAGGTTAAATGCACACTGAACACTTAGCTCTCTACTGGGATGCAATCTTATGTTGTGGAGAGCACTAAGTTATCCCTTGAGCCACTATTACATCTACTTCCAGAACGCAGACATTTAAGCAGGGTATTTTCATACATTTTCTACATGTGCAGTAAATTAGGTTAAAGAACTGAATCACAGAATCATAGAACGGCCTGGGTTGAAAAGGACCACAATGATCATCCAGTTTCAACCCCCCTGCTATGCGCAGGGTCGTCAACCAGCAGACCAGGTTGCCCAGAGCCACATCCAGCTTTGCCTTGAATGCCTCCAGGGATGGGACATCCACAGCCTCCTTCAGCAAACTGTTCCAGTGTGTCACCACCCTTTGTGTCAAAAAAATTCCTCCTAATATCTAACTTAAACCTCCCCTGTCTCAGTTTAAAACCATTCCCCCTTGTCCTATCACTATCCACCCTAGTAAACAGCTGTTCCCCCTCCTGCTTATATGCTCCTATTGCATGTTTGTCAACTTGGTCTTATAGCACTGTCTGTCTTCTCAGGGAATAGTGTCACTGACAGGAACAGTTCAGATTTTCCTACTTATTATCAACAGTCACTTATAGTTCAATTGTATATTTTCATTCTGACAAAAAAGGTGACTGTTTAAGGTTAGGTTTTATGATGGTTCAATATTTATCACTATTTTAAAAGCTTACAGAAATTTTCTTTCTGAAATAGAAAGAGAAATAACAAAGCTTGAATATTTTATTTTAAATGACCAGTAACTTAAATTTATTCAAAATACATTGTTTAAAATATTAATCTAAGAGTAGAATAGCTAGACATCAGAGCAAGGAGTCTGATAGAGTAGCTTCACCTGAAGAGTGTTCTGAACACTTCAGAAAAGTGATCATTCACAAAATAAAGGCCCTAAATATTGAGTAATAGAGAATAAAAGTCTTGCAAACTAGATGGTAAAACATATTACTCCAGGAGAATTTAAGTTTGATAGAAATACCTCAGAAGAATAAAACTAAAGCATTTCTTCATACAATGAATATACTGGATTACAAAATGTTTAGAAAGGCAAAGTAGAGCAAGTTTACCCTATATGTGTCTCTGTAGTTCTGCCTTCACCACTGAACACACATCTAGCTGCAAGAATATCATCATAGCTAACATCAACAGGATGTTCCACTGGATAGAATGCCTGCAAGAGAGAATGAGTCACCCTAATTAGTAAAAACATCCTATATTACTGACGTCAGAATACACACACAAAACCAGTACGTGTCTGAAAAGTAATTTCATAGATGTATTTGCATCATAAGTAATCACAGCAATGCTTGCCAGTATTCAAGTCTAGTGGCACAATAACGCACACCAGTGGAAACGTGACGCAAATCTAAGGCATGTGATATCAGTTAAACTTCTTAGTTAAACTTCAATTCTAATTCTCAGTTAAACTTCAATTCTAATTGAAGTTTAGATTAGAATTGAAAGTTATAGTAAACAAAAAAAATCCAATGACCAACCTGTGGTACTTGTGGACTCTGTCTCCCAATTAATGTCCATTGACCATTTCTCACTCTGTATCCACTCACTACTTTACCTGGAACATACAGATATGTACATGAACATTGTTTACCTCTAAAAAGTGATGCTGCAGGTTCAGTTATCATGCCATTAAATGATTGGTATATTTAATATTGCAATGACATTCTTACCTAGTCTGTGTGTATGAACTCTGTAGGCAAAAAGGTGCATTGGAAATCTTTTGTAATGGCAAGCAATATCTGCATCAACCACTGTTAAAATATGGTAAAAAAACCAAGAACACTAGTTACTGAACAGAGAAATGCTATACTACTACACTTCATTTAGTCTAAAAATACTTTCAAAAAGTACGTCTACAGTGGGTAAGAGAGAATTTTAAATTAATTTATTGGGATTATCCAATCTAAGTTTCAGATAAAAACTACTGAATGCGATTCTGAATAGAAGATGTTCAGAAATTTGTTTTTACAATGTATTTTCTGTTTTAACCTCTTAACCGATTAGAAACATAGGAACGAAAGTTTCAAAAGAGCAGCTTCTTACAGAAATTCATTTATTCAAATTGACCTTTTATGTAAATCTCAAATATTTAGCATAAATACAAATGTTAGATGAAGAAGTATCCAAATTTTATGGATTTGTGGGAAAGGGGAGAAAATAGGTAAGACTTTATCAGTAAAAAAGTCTTTAAAGGGAAAACAGATCAAAGAAATACTTTTAAGAAGCTCAGCAACTCCAACGTTGCGCAGATCATTGCTGTTTTGTACAACACTGATTGGTTTCCTTTGCCAATGTAGGAAATGTGATAATTCATTTCATTATAACAATTAACTCTTGCACCAGTATGGCTCTGATACTTTTTCTTCCATGATCATCAGAAAAAAAATAATAATCAGATACTGGCATTACATACCCCTTTGTAGAGCTACAACTTACCTTTCTCTCCAGGTGGTATGACAGTGTTCACAGACATCATTAGATACATTCCAGCAATCAAAGGCTGCCTGCAATTCAAAACCCAAGCTCTTTTAAACAAGCCCTTTGTAAAACTAGATTACAAGTGACACGATACACAATACTGTTTAACACCACTAATTTCTAAGTGTTTGATTACTTGTGAAACTGTGCTACAGAACCTGCTGCACAACACATTCTCTTCCCTCCTATGTTACACATGTAACTACAGTTTTTAAAGCATCTTCTACAAAATAGGAGAAATAGCACAATATGATTATCTACGTAATTGCTATTCTTATCCTGAATTTCTCAGTGTGAGCCTCTTAACCTGGATTAATTCCGCACTGACAGCAACATATCACCAAGTCTCATGAAAGGAATAAAAGCTTTAGCCAGCAGATGATGCTTCAGAATTCTTAATATTTTAAGTTTGTCGTATTTTTACTTCACACACTTCAAAAGAAATCTAAGGGATTTCAATGTCTTCTCTTCTGATAAAAAAATTGTAGTACATTCAGTATTTTTAATGAGACTTACTTTTGATGAGTCAGATGCAAAGTTACACCAGAGCAGTCCTTGTGTTTATCTGTACAAATAATTAAATAGTTTAATCATTGCCAACTAAATTTATCTAAAAGTACATACAAAAGTATGTAAAAAAACAACAACATTATTCTGTGATATAAAAAATAATAACAGACAAAATAGGCTTTAATTCTTCTATTTTCAGTAAATAATTCCTGTGGAAATATTACTCAAATTTGACCAAACCTGCATTTATAGCAAAATCTATAACATTGCTTTTCATCCTTCAGAGCTTTGCTAACTGCATTTCTTGTCACTAGAACTAGCAGATTTTTAAGAACTAGTTTTGGGGAGATGAAGCCATGCCATTTTTTGCAATAGCTAGAAAAACTATTTTGCATTAGAAAAATCGTATCATGATAAAATAGGGGAAAAAAAGCAGTCCTGGGACTTTAATCTTTGTTCTGCAAGAAAGTGACGTTATGTCAACACAAAAAAATTAGCTATAGTGAGAAGAAGGGTATAACTCTAAAGCAAGGAAACATATTCTTTTACTCTCTAAGTTCAGAAAAGAAAGAAAATGGAGTTGCTATGCCTCTGCTAACATGTAGTGACTCCAGACATATTTTCCTCCTGTCAATATTTAGGTAAGAGTCAGAACTGAAAAAACAGGCATTTGAACAGAAGAAAGGATTATGATGACAGTGGAACTATATAGAATAAAATGAATCAGTATTTTTTTAAAAAACTCTAGTCACGGCATTTTATTATTTAGTAATAATAACCACTTCCATTTCTAAAAATCTGAATCGGTAATTAACAGCAAAAACAACAAAAGGCAAACTTTCACTGGAATGGTAGCCCTCTTATCCAGAGTACACCTGGAGTTTTACTGAATGCTTGGAAAGAATATATAATGAGAACTTTTCAGAACAACCGTGATGAAACAGATGGAAAGCGGATGAAAATTCAAGTGGCAGTGAAGAAAAAGAACTGATTCAAAGCAGATGGAATTCGAGTGTCTTTCTAAAGCTACACATAATACTGCCTCAGATATAAAGACTTATGTATCTATGTTCAGTGCAGGGGATCCAACATGGGTTTGCTAGAGCACTGACAATTGCTCCTACAATCACACACACAGCCAAGCAGTCAGCTGGTCATTGTCACTTTGTTGCTCATATTTTAGCTGATTTCATAAAATCTCCACTCTAAGACACTAAGACACTCTAAGAGTGTCTTTCAATAAAATAACATTCTTACCTACATCATGTTTGTGCTAACATGCAAGTTTGTAAAGTAAAATATTATACACTGATATAGTAATCTACACTTTAAGATAAACACATTTTAAGATGGAGTCCTCAAATGTTTTAATTTACTTTTTAAAACAGTGAAATAAACACATTCACCTGGCAAGCCATTTGCCAGGTGGCAGAACAGGAGATAGAAAAGACGACCAAGCTGTAGAAGTAAAGGTGAAAGGACGAAACAGAAGACCAAGAGAGATCAGATAACAGCAAATGACAATTAATGAATTAAGATACTGTCAGTACCTGCCTCAAAAAAATGCAACAGGTTACAAACAGAGAAATTGATAGAACATGATTACCTTTCTTTCATAATAAGTTAAAACAGATTATTACTGACACTTTTAATTACTTCGATTCTAGGGAATATTTCTATATTCTTATGTGCTGGGAACTACAAAGGTAATCACATGATAGGTAAGAAACCATGTTAGACTTTGGCACAGGATGAAAGAAATTCTATACATTGAGATTTTATGTATTTTTTAAGTAAAATTTGAAATAAATCATAAATAGTTTAACAACTGCACTGCTTATCTCTACAATGCATATCTAAAGTTTGGTATCTTCTCAGATCTTAGGATGCTAGATTTATTTACATCTGGATCTGAGTGCTAAACACCTAGGAAGTAATAAAAGCAACAAATTTCTGACCTACTTTTCACTTGTTACTATCTGCTGTCAGTAAGAAGTCAAAATAGCTTATACAGTTACAGTTTTTAGGAAAAATAGAAAAAATCACAATGAGCAATTATTATTTTTCTAAATGGCTTTTTACACAAACCCCTCCTGCCACCCTTTCTCTCCATTACTTTCACTGAATCCATTTTTGTTTGCCACCTTGTTTTATAAGGTGCACTACAGACAAGATACAGAATGCTTTCTTTTGATAGCAGGGCATAAAATGCATTCCTAAATATGAATATTTAAATATGGATCATAGCTAAGGACAGAAGGAAAGTATAAATAGTTTAATAACTGTTCAAGAAATGAAGAAATCTCTTTTACAAATAGTTGTAAATAACAGTTAATAAATTTTAGCTATGATATGATATTCCT